GGGAAAAATAACCTTTTTTTAATGAAAACTGTCTCATAAAATATATTTTTTAGGTCAAAACTGCTACTATTGCTACAGAGAGGAATGGAAAAACAGAAAATAATTCCATGAACATTAATGCTTCCATTTATGATTAAATGAAGAGAGCTAAGGTGTCTCAAGCACTGTTTGCAAAGGTTGCGGCAACCAAAAGCCAGGTAAAGTTCCCAGGGCGCAGCGGTCTCCCTATCCTGTGCGATTACTCCCTCCTTCCCCATTTTTTTTATCTGTTTCTGTGTGAGTTACAAGTCACTGCCAGGCTAGCACACTAGCCTGGTACCCCAACTCAGAGCTCCTTGCTGGATCCAAAGGTAACCTCTGGTTACCCTTGACCAGGCAGGGCTGAGAACTGGCTTCCCAGGGCTCATCTCTCCCTCTTTACCCTAGCCAGAGATGTCATTGCTGTGCACCTGGGACTCCTGTGTGGCTCAGAAAACATCAGGTTCATCAGTCCATAGCCAGTGTGGATGTGGCAGAAGCCGTGGGCAAGCTCTGTATATTGTTACCAAGCTTGTCTCGAGGTTTTAGCATTTTACTATTGTTTGCACTGTCACGAGGAACGATGGGGTTCTGGTTTTCGCAAAAGTATTTAATCAGACCCACTGATGAGGCTGTGTATGGGAGGTGGGGAAGCACTCTCAAAAAAACCCCAAACCAACAAATTATAGTTACACAAGTCACATCTGAGAAAACATGTGCAATCTTTGTGGAATATGATGGCTGCTTGGTGACCTGCATGTGTGCATACATATAATACAGTGCATATTGAGTTTTAAGCCTTTGTTGCGTGATTTCTTATTCTGTTTTCCTTGACCGAAGAATTTCTGTTGAGTTTAGTGTCAAGAGTGGGAAATGAGCAAGCACTTACTGGGTGTGATTATCGTAAGTGACATGTCTTCTGAGAAGGATCACCAGTGTATGCAAAAGCATTGATTTGAGTGAGAAAGTGCTCTAGAAGTAAGTAAAGGAAAAATATATAGAAAAATGAGAAAGACTAGAACCATAGTTACACCAGTGCTTGAACAAAATGGTAAAAGCACCAATGCTTGCAATGTTGAATTTTCATGTTAGATTAAATGTTAAGTTGACTTGGTCACTATTTCTTTACTTTTCTAAAATTGCTTCATAGAAGAATAGGCCATCCTTCAGGGAAAGCTGAGAATGATCAGTTGGACCAATGTTTCTTGAGCCGTCAGCATTTTAGTGCTGGTTTTCTTTTTAGCTGTCTTAAACGTTTGACTTCTGTGTGGTTCACGTTCGGAGTTTACTCCATTTCATTGTACAGCAAGGATGTTGTCTCTTAAGTTATATGTTGTAAGGAGCACTTAAAGGGATATTTTGGAAATGTTATATCAAAATGATTAAACTCAAGCTGTGGACTGTAAAAATTATAGCTTTATAGGCCACATGCCTGCCTACCCTTCAATCACTGTCAAAGTGATAATTTCTACAATAATATGTTTCTTTTATTGTGGGATTCTAAACACCAAGTGCTGTTTAAACATTAAACTGAATTGTTTATGTTAGTGCTGTACTCAGTGTGTCATACACCAGGCCACTATAATCTCCCATGGAATGTAAAAATTCTGTCATGAATCATGGCTTGTATATCAGAAATTACTGTAATTTTGATTGGAAATTACAGGGCTCTTGAAATGTTTCTAATTATGATAGAATGTTACAGCAGCTTCCAACCTGTGTGCTCCTCCGATGTCTTTATTCACATGTCAAGACTCAGGGTTAGAGAACTGTCCGTTTTCTACACCTTCCCCTTTCCATTGCAGTTCTCCGCAAAACCAAGGTATGAAGCCGATCTATCGGTCCACATAATTTTGATCTGATCTGCTTTATGTGATAGCATATTTGTTTAAGTGCTTAGTCTTAAAATTTCTAGGCGGGACAGCTCGTCCAATGCTGATTTTAAAAGGGACAGGTGATTAAAGTGAAGCACAAAAGCTTCCAGAGGATGTGGTACACTTTTTTTAGAGTCTTGTTATAAATTTTATATTCTTTTACAAACTTTGCTACCAAGTATAGAAAACAACACTAAACATGTAGTTCTTTTCCTTTTTGTTGTGGAGATAATGCCTGTATTCTCAGAGTTTATTTTTCTCCCCAGTTTCAGCAATGCAATGTTAACTTACATGTATGCAAGCTTTCAGGTCTGTAGTTAGTGAAAGTGACATTTGTAGTAGAAAGCGCCTTCACAGAAGTAACTTCTGTGGTAAACTGGATGCATTGAGTCGTCTCAACAACGAATCAATTCACTGCTAGTCATCCAATTAAAATGCTTTAAATATGTAGCAAAGCCATGTATATTAAAGGAGATATCTGTTCTGTAAAAAATTCTAAGTTGGAGTTTGTCAAGGGTGCAGGGAGATATTTCTTCAGGCAAAGAAGTCTCTCTTGCACAAAAAAAAAATAGACTTATTCAAACATATTCTTTAAGAGAGCATCTCTTGAAAGAGGTACATTGTTGTGTTTGTTTTTTAATTTGGGGGTATTGGTTTCCGCTCAGAACTGAAAATCCTGGGATAATCACTTCCAGTTATAGTGGAAATTCTGGAGGATGTGTATTAGAAAATGATGCATTGGTTAAGAGTTTTGTTTATAAAATCACTAAAAATGAACATTGCTGCTCTTATCTTATTGTGGATAAAAAACTTGATTAGCTCCTGAGTGTAGTCTGGAGTAACAGTATAAAATGTATGTCACCTAAAACGGCTCTGCCAGTGGACAAAGATAGCTGATTGCTGGAGGGCCTTTTTATTTTTTTATTTATTTTTTTTTAAGGGGCTGATTTGGGTCAACATTAGATTGGGCATCTAAGCGGCCAACATCTGCAAGGTGCCTGGGCTTGCCTGAGCCAGGAGACTGCAGATAATGTTCTGCTGACTAGAGCACTTCATACTGAAGAGCTATTAAACAGTGTGCTACACAAGGTTCTCTTTAGGTAACGCCGAGGTGAAAAAGTGAGCACCTTCCCTTGTGCCATGTTTAGTGCCTTTAGTAAGAGTTACCTGGTTGACAGAGGATCACGCGTGGGAGTGATGCTCCCCAGACCCGCCGGCTGCGGTGGCTCGCTGCGGCAGAGGTCATGGTGCAGGGCGAGGAAGGGGTGATGGGAGCAGAAGGAGGTGCCAGTGGTGTCAGCCAGATCGTACTCAGGCTTAGGTGAGTGTCCATTTATCCACTTGGTATTTTCACCGAGCACTCTGCTGGCAGCTCGTTGACTTTCCCAAAGGACAAGGGTTGTCTGGCACATGGGTTTGAGTGAGTCTGGGGACTTAGCTAGGAGATTCCTGCAAATGTTGGATCCTGTTCCTCTCTAGGAATGTATGCATTCAGTAGATTTTTCAAGTTTCTGTGTTTTTAAGGATCAATATATTTTCTGTAGAATCAATTCAAATTCTGTTAAATTCAAAATATGTGCTTTAAAAGTTACTGTGGTTATACTGAGGAGCTAAGGAAGATATTGTAATTCAAATTACTTGAATACATCCTATCTTTGGGGAGTTTTAGAACTGTAATTGGCAAAACACCTAATGTCAGTATTTAAAATCTTACGTTTTTATTGCAAGTTGTCCACCTGTTAGGCCTGCATTTTTTTTCCTTAGATTGTGTTGAAAAGAGAGCTTTAGAAAAATGCATGCAAAGAAGACAGAAATGTTTACAGCAGACTTTATTTCTGCTTCAAGATTGTTGTTTTTTAGTGGTACAATGGCAATACTTTTACAATTAAGTCAGAGTGGGTTTTTATTAAATTTATAACCTGACAGTCTGATTCAAGTCGTTATGAAAGCACATTCTTAATTTTGTTATTTCAAACAAAAAAAAAGTTGATTTGTGTAATGATCGTTAAGGCATCATGGTTCAGTAACTGTGCATTGGTTACAATGTTTTCATGGGGGAGCCAGGGAGGAGTTTTTTCTTGATGGTGACAGATGCTGAAATCTAATTTTATTCCATAAAAACAGGCAAACAAACAAACAAAAAAATCCAAACCTAAGAGCCCCTAGAGATAAGACAAGTAGAGACTTGCACTGTTTCTGTATGTTTGCTGTGTTCTGAGAAGTTACATTTATGTTAATGGCTTCTGCTGAAAAGCTGTGGCCTGCACATGCTCGTATGAAGCAGGGAAGAAAGCAAAACTTTGCTGAAAATCAGCTGACATTACTAAAGCTTTCTTAAATTTAGGAAATTACAATTTGCAAATATGGAGGTAATAGCAACTTCTGTACCTCTGAGAGTCCCTTGCACTGCAGTATAAGCTCATTAGCTTGCATTATTATAGCTAAATAACTCTGTTTTGTGGCAGAATAAATAGGTAAAATTGATATTTTTCTGTGGTATCAATCCTGCCAATTGCAGTGTGTGGCCAGACAGGTGCTGAGTGCCTCCCCTTCTCACCACATAAAAACGCCTCGATGTTGAAGGTGAGACACTTGGCTCTCACTGAATCGTTCTTCAATGTTAATTTTCAGATGAAACTAATGGAGCACTGCCCATACCTCCAGAAACCTCATCTAATTACGGACAGTTTTGACCCGTTACTTCTGAGCTGTTGCGTTGTGTTGCCCAATTTCCCGTCCTTCTGTTGTCCCCGTCTTTCACTTTGGCTAGACTGTTAGCCCCTTGGAAACGAGTAGTTTTGCATGCAAAGCACGGAGGGAAAATCACTGATTCACACCATGCTAGAGACTCCATCCTAAGCCATCGGCCAAGTATTTTGTGCGGTGGTATTTTATTAGAAGCCTTTGACTTTTTGCCTTAGTACACACCTGGCAGGTCCTCCTGCGAAAGGCTGCGCAGGGGTGAGCGGCAGGGAGGCATCAGGCAGAGCATCTGACGCTTGTGAGTTAGATGGGAAGGAGTTAAATGGGAAGGCAATGCTAAACATTGGCACTAAAATTGCTTTTGGCATGCAAATACCACGCTTTTCCTGACATAAATATTTTCAGAATAGGCCATTAGAGTTCAGGTATATAAACCCCTGCTTTTACTGGAAATTTTAATGTTGTAGTAAACCCGGAGATTTATAGTGAAAAATTGATATCTGTTATCTCACTTTTATCTTTTTAACCAGCAGTTTTATAAATGCTATATCTTTGATCTGGCTTTTTCCATCTAGAGACTAAGCTATATACTCTAATAGGAA